AAAAAAAAATTTTTTATTTATATGCATTAGTTGTGACGTAATTCAAATTTTAATATGTTAGGATTTGCAATGATCGACAGATGGTCGGATATTTTTTGGAGGGGAGTGTATATTCATAAGAAATACTATTAGTTTGTAATGTAAAATAATCTATTGTTATAAAAGCTACAGTTAGAAAATAAAATGCATTAGTTTTCTATTATAATAATAAATTAGTATTTAATTTTAAAGGTAAAAAAAAGTAAACAGTTTATTTTTTATTTTATTTTATTTTATTTCTATTTGTTTAAATCAGATTTCAAAAAATTTATAATGGATTTTTTTTTTATTTAAGTTTTGTTATAGCTCTATCTTTTTAATATATTAAATAAGAAATTTTAAATAATTAGTAGCTTATTGATGATTATCTTCTTTAAAAGTTTTGAATTAATGGGTTAAAAAGAACAGAAATAATAGAAGATTGTGAATGATAAGTTTATTTTCTATCAACTTATTTTTCATTTTTAAGCTACTTCATAATATATATTAATATTACATATTTAATAATTATAAAATCTTGAATGATTAACTATATGAATCTATAAGAAGGTAGTAAAGTATTTGATAAAACTAATGTTACCTTATAAAAAAATTTAAGTAGTTGCATCGTACTCTAAAATAATTATTTTAATTATATACTATATATTTTTAATTTATTCATTTTATATATATATACTTACTTTAATTATAATCTAATTACTAATTTCAGATAATCTTTTTTTAGCTTTAGGCGTGATTGTATAAGATTATCAGTAATATTCCTAATTTTTTATAATCTTTCAAGATAAATGAAATTTTATTTTATATTAATATCAAGTTTAAGATAAAGAAAGAAACAATTTAGAATAGTAGAAATTCTCTTTACTTCTAAAAGTAAAAGAGAATATTTAATTTTGTTATAAAAATAACATGTTTTTTTTATTTGACTAATATATATTTTTTATTCTTTTCTAACAGTAAGGTTTAAAATATATATTATATAATAAATATATACTATATTAAGATTTATGAATTTTTAGAAGTAATATAACAAGTTTGATTATTTCTTATATTATCATCAGAAAAACTAATTTTTTCTTTGATTTCTAAATCTTCTACAAGTTCAATAATTTTTTACCAGAATGAGAATTATGTAAAGAAAAAAAAAATTAAAAAATAGAGTTATCATTATCTATTTAGCATTAATCTAATAAATAGTAATTCCAAAAAAGGTTGTTAAATACATGCAATACAAATATCTAAGATAAGAACTAATTTGCTTTGATTATTTTTTTAAAATATATTTTTTATTTTTATTCTAGATATATTAAATTGATTTTTAATATTTTAGAAAGTATTTGTCAATAAGGAACTTTATAAAATAGATCTAGATTAAAAATTAGTTTAATAAAAAAATCTTCTTTAACAACTGAAAAGAACTGTTGACTAATGATAATCTATTGTAATAAATCTTTAAAGATTTTTATGATTTTTATTAACTTATCAATTCTTGAATATAAAAAAGAACGAATAAACTTTGTAGTTTGTCTAAAATCTTTAAAGGTTCTGTGTATTTTTTTTTCAAAATGACGAGCTATTGTTGATAATGATGTACCTGATCCCATCTTTTTTTACAACTCTTACAGATACGACTACTATCTTCAAGTATATCAATATAATCACGAATAGTTGCTGGTTTTCTTTTATTTTTTTTTGTTTTTCATTAATATTTTGAGGTTCATATCTAACTATTACATTATTTTGAAATTTTTCTATAATATTATTGGTATCATATAGGCGATACATGAAAAAATAAATTAGGTAACTTTTATAATATAAATTTAAAAATTTTTTAGTTTATCAATAAAAAAAAAAAGATATAAAGGATATATACAATAATAAATTAGGCAAATGTTCTTGTTCTTTTAACATTAAATGATAAATTGTAACAATTAACGGTAAATCATGTGACATACAATTCGTCATGTGATTTAAAAATGATCTTTCCAAAAATCCGACTCAAAGATCGACTATAAGATCGACTCAAAATTTTAAACATCCTTATCGGGGTTTGAAATTTAAATTTGGACTGCCCGAAATTGAAATTTCGGAATGGATCTGCCCCAATTTAAAGTTGGGGGGGCACAACATATGCAAAAAGTTGGTTTATACTAAGTCATCAAAAGAAAAGGATCGTCTAATTGATTAAATTTAACGACTTTCATACTATTGAATAAATTTGGTTATGATAAGTCTAATAAATAATTTATATGAAATATTTTACATATTTACCTTTTCAAGTGCAGATAAGCAAGCAGTATTTTGGAACACGTGAAAATTCGAGCTAATCCAAAAATATAATTGTATTTGTTGACTTGCCTATCAAAATAAATGCGGAGATTTATTATTAATCTTAGTAAAGAGATTTTTCTCCTCCTTTATCGGTCTTCACATTATTGGCTTCCGACAAGCAAAATCATTTTCTATTAATTTACGGACCACTTCATTATAGATTCTTATTTTGATAAATTATCTTATGTTTATCATTAATGCAATTTGACCGAGAAAATGGACAAGCAAAATCAATTTCACTTCATTATAGATTCTTATTTTGATAAATTATCTTATGTTTATCATTAATACAATTTGGCCGAGAAAGTGGACACTAAGATTCTAAAAAAATTCATATTAAGAGACTCTAATAATACAAAATTTTGACTATTTAACTCCTGAAAATCTTTTACTACGCATGTTCACTTTGCTGTTCCATTTATGGAAATTATCTTTAATGCAATGGGGTTAAATTTTTTTATCGTTTAATATTATCAAATTAATTTGTATGTTCTTTCGTATTTGATAAACACCACTTCTTATTAATTGTATGTTCTTCGTGTTTGATAAGCACCACTTCTTGTGAAAAAAATACAATCAATTAATTCAAAAAAAAAAAATCAAAAAAATTAGTAACGTTACAACAAGGAAAAAAATTTCAATAAATTCCCTCTTGAAAGTTGGATGATAATTTATTCACAATTCGTTTTGAATAAAAAATAAAAATAAAAAAAAAGCAATTTGCTTCTTGTGCAAAAGAATTGACCTTTTATCATCTAAAATCTTTCCTTTCAATAGATACTCTACATTCATTTTTTCCTCCACCCCTTTTTTAAAAAATTCTTGAAAAAAAATAAAAAAAGTAGTAACTCTCACAATGAAGACCTTTACATTCTTCCTTGCACTCTTTCTTGCTTTCACAGTTATTACCGCAGAGGATAACGAAGAACAATGGTTTGCCAGCTCCATAAATCCTTTTGATCAAAAGAAACGGGACATTTCGGCTAAAATCACCTTTTTTGAAGGACATTCACTTGATAACGCTGCTTGTTATGGTCGTGATGGACTTCCTGAATATGACGCAAAATCAACTGATTTCATTGGTGCAATGACGGGCCTAAATAATTGTTATAAATGTCTTGAAATAACTAATCCAAAGAACAAGAAGAAAGTTGTCGTCAAAATTATTGATAAATGTGCAGGTTGTAAAAAGAATCAGGTTGATTTAACAAGAACTGCTTTTTCTAAAATTGCAAATCCCGATGATGGAATAGTAAATATTAAATTTAGAGCTGTATCTTGTCCATCAAAAGGTAGATTCCCCACATTCGAGAAAAAGAAGAAGAAGAAGCAGCATTAAGGATTTAGACTTGAGAATTTAACGGGTTTTATCACATTATATTTGTGGGACGGATTTGTTTTTTTTAGTTTTTAGTCTTGGTGGGTCTATGCTTAGTGAAAAATTTTGTCTGAAGTCGAGAAGCATTTCCGTTACTGAATTTGTAAACTGCGCTCGTGATCGTTTCCGATTTTTATCATTTCGAAAAAAAAAAATATACATTTACTTTTCCGGATATTCTTAACTAGGTTGAGTTTGATTTCAGGGGAGTCTTCATAGTTTAGTTTTTACGAGATTTTCATAATTTGTATTTTAATTTTACATAGAATTACTTTTATCTTTGGTGCGCGATAATTCCTGATCGGCTGGCCCGATTTCAACTAATTTTAGCTTGTTGCTATTAATAAAAAAAAATTAAAAAATTAACATTTACTTTCGTCATCCTCTATTCATAACACGTGAATTGTGAATTGTGACGCTCATTAATCTTCCCCAGCTGCACCAATAAAAGTCACCGGCACGTGACATGAAAATATTTGTCCCCCGTGTCACACCTTCCGCAACTTCACACCTAATGTTGTAATGCCATGCAGAGACCCGGAATTATTCCGATATCAAATCACAAATTTTTATCACGATAACGGGAAAAATTCCGATTTTATTCCTATAAAAAATTACCAATTATAGTAAGAAACATTTGATAATTCTAGCCGGCTCACATTTTAATGCAGGCTGATCTAAGTTGCGATAGTGACACGACAATAATTTTGGCCAAAAATGATCAAAATGATTGACATTTACCGGTTACTAAGGAATTTTTACAAATTCCATCACGATAAAAGTCAATAATACTGCAATAACGATTGGTTAGAAAAAAACTCTTTCTCGCTCTCCACTATACCCAAAAATTAGAAAAAACAAAAATTTTATTTTTTAAAAGAAAACTTCTATTTTTTATTAAAACTTTTATTACACAATATGTCCCTTGATATTTTTAAAAACCTTTCACTAAAGAAGTCTTAGACTTTCAAAAACTCAAAAACTACATTATGCCTGAACTTGAAAAAAGAGACTTTGCCATCTTGGAATTTCTCTCTTATGAAACACCAGAAGTGTTTTGGCTTGTTAAGAAACTAAATGAAGAATACCTAAAAGCTTTCCCAGCAGAACATACTGCTCAAGAAATATTTCTTAATAATAACTTTATAGATAACCTTGCGAGATCTTGTGCCTACAATATCTACAATATTCACGAAACAGGAACGAGCGACCATGGAACACATAACACAGAACATATTATTTCAAATACAATTGAAACTGCTCTTCCCATCAAAGAAAATGATGATATTATTTCAACTATCGACGAAGAGGAAATAAACTCACAAATGGACATACTCAACGATGATGACATGCTTACGGATTCAAATCTTACACGACATAATAATCTTCCTTCATCACTCTTGTCTTCTCACGCACAACAACAACTTTCTGACAAAAATCATAATAAACCGTTACGTAACAATCACAACAAAGATAATAATAAAAAACAAACTTATGCGTCTATCTTACAACAAAACAAAAAAAATAATAATAATATTCTAGACGCGTCTGTAAATCACCTAAGCAGAAATAACAATATTGACGCGTTCTCACATAACCCAATCAACAACAATAACAAACATAAATCAAAGTTATATGAAAAGGATCTTTATTATACGTTGAATAATTCTTCTCACGTGACTCAACCAAATAACAAAGGAAATGTCTTCGTGTCAATCTTAGTTTTTGCTATGCCAGGCGATACTAGAATGGAAAAATTGACTCTCATATCCTCTATCTTTTCTCATAAACCAGGTTTTGTTAACATTGATTGGAAATTTCACAATAGAAATGCAAACATTTTCATAGAATTTAACAATAGAAAGCTCTTATTAGATGCTATAGATGATGCTTTAACGAGTCACTCAGAGCTTCCATTCAATTTAATAAATAAGGCTCCTTCATTGAATCTCCATCACAACAATCTTACTTACAAATTAAAAACAGTCCCTAGCAATATTACACAATATCATATAAACAGAGCTCTTTCTTATTTTGGTTCAATCGCTTCCATTGTAGATCAATACAGAAACTAATACTCCTCGTCACGTGACGTTATCATCACGTTTGACAAAGTTAGAAAACCACATCAATTGAATACGGCTTGGGCGCATAATATAAATGGCCAAATGATTAGATGTGCGCATATTAATACTTCGATAGACGAACTAAAAGATAGGAATCGTTATGTAGCTGGCTTTAAAGGTTTCATGAATAAAACTACACCAGCTGATGCCTTCCGTACCCTAAGAGCATTTAATGCTATATCTTGTTACTTCCATAATAACATAGCCTACGCTGCCTTTGCATCTGAAGAAGATACGAACTCAGCGTATTCACAAAAAATCATACATAATGGATATAAACTAGATGGAAGACCTAGAGTCCTTAACCGTCCTTACACACAAGCTGAATTAACCC